AAACCCAAAATAAAAATATTTGGCGATATTTTGGACAATAACAATAAGGCTAATCGTAATTCGCATTGTCCTGAACAAATCACTGTGCCAAATTTCAGAGAGAGGAAAGCGGCTGCCAGGTGAAACGATACAACCGGGATTTAGATAACCTCCGGACCAATCTGTAACCTACCCCACTATATATATAAAGACCGCAAACAACGTAGAGCTCTAATATAATGTATTGATTGGGATGACAACAAAACCGCCCAGTACCACAGTTGGGTGGTGGTGGCACGATCCCAACATCGGACTTAAGGATCTAGAACAGGCTAGTGGTTCACCGGGACTTAGGTTACCGGTTTTCATTACCGAATAGCAGGTTTACGCGACGTTGGCATACATCTCGTCAGCTGTTCATCCCACGAAATGTATATAATAATAACACAAGATGCTGGTGGTGGTGCAAGGGTTTAATCACTGTTACCGGCGTGCTTTGCACCCCATGGTCTGAAGTTCGAATCCCGGCCATCGTCACCTAACTTTGGTGATGAGCAGCTTTACTGTCGTCCTATTCAGTGCAACACCAAACCTAGTGGGTCCTTATATAGTTCGCCACTCCAAGTCCCGGGGTTTAGGTTGCCGGTTTCTATCAGTGAACAGCAGGTGTTTTATCACACAACTTAGTGATGAACAACAGACGGGATAACTCCCAAATTCAAGAGGACCTACTGTTCAGTGATGAAAACCGGCAACCTAAGCCTCGGGACTTGGAGTGGTGAACCACATAATACCTCGTTAGGTTAGATGTGGTATTTAAACGGACGACAGAAAAGCTGCCTACCATCAAATTTGAGTGGCGGTGGTAGGGCTTGAACCTCGGACCAAAGTTCAATGCACGTTGGTGACAGCGACTAAACCACTGCGCCACTGCCATCCAGGGTTCACCTCATCTGCTATTCATCACATGAAATGTGTGCACTAAAAATCGCTATGCATTATTCAGGATGTGAATGGATACGTGATTAAGGTTTACTGAGTGACAGAAAATTTCTGAACGCAGTTATGATTACTACTCTTTAATATACCCTTTCAATACGAGCCAAAGCGAGCTGAACAAAAAAGTAGTAGCAAATTCAAACGATGAAAAATAACTTCACATGACGGATGTTTTTATGACTGAGGTGTTAGTATTTGGTCTCTAATGTTAATGATAATGCCGATGGTAATAACAATATAACCAATGACGATAGACGATAAGATATTCAAAGCAAACAGAATATTTCACGTACAAGTGGAGAAACTTGATGCACCAATAACCAACTACATATGCCATCACTATCAGAGGATTCCACTACGCAAATACGTAGCACGGGCGAACATGTTTTCGGTGAATTCATTCTCAAACCATTACAATTAGTTGGGTGATGAATTTATTGAAATGGGGTTGGGGGTCAGACATTGTCCCTGGTTTGTGTTGTTTTAATCACATGACTGATTAACTATCCGACCAAGCAGAGGACTGAGTTTACCTATTTTTTCGCACATTGTGACTGAATAAAAATAAGTATAATGAACTGAGAGTTGAGTCATTGAAAACACGTTCGCCCAAACGGATAACCAAAAGACAGAAACCAACACCGCAGCACAAAAGTGCATGGTTAATGGTTGTAAAAACTGGAACTAAAAACATGCCAGAGCATGAGTAATATGAAACGTAAAGATCAACAATTGTGCGAGTACAGTGTAAAGCCCAGAGGCTAAGCGGTGAAGCGAACTGCACGCAACAGACGATGCGATACAATTCAGTATTATTAATGTTACCTTGGATTACGATACGTTAATATTAGTATTAGACGACCGTCCGGTTCACAGTATATTCAGTGCGAAAAATTGCTTTTATGAACAGTGCGTAAAATTCAATACAATGGTCACTTTGATGTAACCAACAGAGTACTTATTGCATAGATAAGTAACTTACTTCTTGAACTTGAATGCACTTGCTGCATGGTAGAAGAAACTAGTGGACGTGAGTCTCCTGTTCCAGAATTTACGTTTGAAGTAAATGCAGGCAGATGGTTTCCACTACCCTCAGATGCAGCATCGCAACTTCTTGACGGAACTCTGTTTGAGTCAGGTAGCCTGCGATGATCATTAAGTGCAGATGAAGCTACCGGGGATTCCTCTAACACTTGCCCATCTGGGTAACCATCGTACGTTGTGGCTGTACCAGGATCCTGTAGACCCGGACACGGAACAGATGCCGGCTGTGGTGTACTTGAACCTGGGGATAGTTTTGGATGTCCTGTGCCTTCTTGCGTTCCCCAAACGGATGAACTATTGGGACCGGCACTGCAGCTGCTACTACTACTCCAACTCTCCAACCCTGAATCTCCACTCATCATTGATGCTGTGCAAACGGGCTTTGCTCCAAGACCAGTGAACGGTGACTTTGAATGAGACATTTCTACAGATCGTGATCCATCTTCTTTTAATCCAACAGACGATGGGTTACCATTTGGCAACTCGTTCGCTTTTGGTGTTGAATTTTCGATGGACGGCATATCTCGAGCCAAGATTTCCTGAAGGTCAGTGAAAAAAGCGTCCGTTTCAGAATTAACATGTTTCTGGTAGAAAGATTCCGGAAGGCTGTCCGCCGGTTCATTTGGGTTGGGTGGTGAATCAAACTCCAAAGGAGTATTCGCATTTTCCTTCGTATTAGGAAAAGAAAATCTCTGCAAACCATCAGTAAAATCGTTTACGGGGCTGTCGCGTGAGACAGGCCTGAAGTCCTCTGTGGCGGCCAGATCCGCATCAGAAGATTCCTGAAAAAATTGACCCAACGAAGTATCTACCGGATCAGGCGCACAAAGAAGCTGCTCCACAGTGCTTCTCACCATGGAATCTGGTCGGATAGTAAGGGACTTTCCATCAAACGAACAAGTTGTACCAGAAATCCAGTTTTCGCTTGGTTTCTGGTCTTGACTCATGCCACTTTCATACTGATTTGAGGGGTCAAAATGGGACATTTCTGGCTTTTTGTAAGACGACGGTGAATCTGCACGTATAGCACAACCGGAGGTGATATGAGAAGCGGAACAACCAGTAGCAACCTGAGTAGCTGGACCAGAGCGAATCGTATCCACAGGACCAATCGGAGTGTCGCCAGATCTTTGATGAGATCGATCACCTCTACCCTCGTATCTCTTGTCTCCAGGTGGTTCGTTCACTAGGGTATCGGGGATTTTGTTCGAGTGAAAACGTGCGTTGTGATCATTTGCTTGGCTAACCACTGACCCTGGAAAGGAGTAAATATCCATTCCGATGCGCCGAAAAGGCTCTGGCGAGTTTTGAGGATGATATGCGTGTGCTGACAGCTGTTGCGGTTCAGTATTTTCACCAGGAAACGAGACTTCCATCATTTGTCTTTTACAGGGTGCGTTGACGTGCTGGCTCCTAACGGTATTAGGAGCACAGAATTCCGGGAAGTTTACGACGGGTTGGGTTTTACTCATGTAGGGAGACACGATCTGCTGAGAATATTCATTTCGATCTTGCGTTAATAATTCCTGAAGAGAATTCTTCCGTTCTAAAATCAGAAACAGTATAATACAAACGCCATTGAATTACTCGGCTAATGCCCAATAACAAAAATGGTGATAGGCCTTTGAAACCTACAAAACTCCATCAAAGGTAAACTCAAAGACTGGTGTTATATTATTTGAATATAAAAGACTCAGTTATGACTGCCCACACTTGTTTTGACCGAACATGGTATTCCAAATTAATAATACAAGAGAAAGCATTGATATGTTCGGGGGAGGGGGGTGGGTGGGCTCCTTCGGCTGACCGTTTACCCTTCTGTTACACTTCACCAAGTGCTCCAATACAATGAAACAAAATAACAAACCTCTTACGAGGAAGCCCTATTCACTACCGTGATGTGGTGGGCATCATCATCATCATCGTCAAGCGAAATACAGTGAAGAGAACTTCACTGATTGCTGAAAAACTCGCAATGCATACATGGTTAGTGGTAAAATTTAAGGTGGACAGGGATTGGACCTACTTTGAGGGAGGGAGAAGAAGGTGAACCACCATGGTCCACACAGAGTGCACAATCAAATTCTGCCTACATTCCGTTTCAAGCGTTTTGGCCCGATAATAGATTACAACAAGAACGTCACTGCTGTTGGTTCGCAGCCATATCCTTCGGTGTCTCCAAGCAACCAGTTGCGGAGTCTTTCGGACCCCAACCTGGAAAGCGCGTGACAACTACTCCACCTAATGGTTCTGTGCATGTGATGGTATGAGGTGTAAGCTGATTGGTCAACTGGTAGTTCACCAAAGGGATCTGGTAAAAAAGCCTGATGTCGAACCAACGTAGGGATCCTCGAACCACAGACTATTCTGGCTTTCGTACTGGCCACCAGCTTGAGGTTCTTGGACGTTTGAACTCGTCCATATGACACCTGACCCGATGAACTGGCCGCGATGGAATTTGCTCTAGACCACGCCGCTACGCAATAGACGACGTTTTGGTTAGCCGAAGGAAGCAGTTGTGAATCACAACCGGGTACCTGGCAGATATTTCACCTATGAGCAATTGGAAGGTTATTTTTGTCACAAAGATTATGGTATCGTGATTCATTCAACACAGTCTGAACTCGAACAAGTGTGAAATATAATACCAATGATGCACAACGTCAACTAACATGATAATATTCAATAGGAATGACTTTGTACTAGCGTGTTTCCACACATAAATGAGCATTTCTGAATATGAATTCTACTGTATTCGTTTCATATGCACTAAACACACAAGAACCTATATTGTGTTGACAACCATAAGATTGAAATAAAGAAGCATGTAAGATACTAAAGGAACCAACGCACTACGGTGTTGTCGGTTACATAACTGATAGCATCTATGCTACTTCATCACAAACATTTGGGACAATTAAATGAGTAATGCTAGGTAGATATAACACCATTAACAATGACATAAAATTAACAATTACCGTGGGTGTAGAGATGGAAATCAACCATGCGCAAAATAAGCATGAAAAAGCAAATTGAGAACTAACCTATGTGATATTGATTCACATGACGTTTTAAGTGCTCCTGACGTAATCCAGTGAAGTGACAACCATCTACTGGGCATTTGAAGCGTACTTCACGGTGAAATTCGTTTACATGGGTTGCCAGACATTTTCGACTTTTAAAAGGCTTTCCGCATCCTACAACGTTGCAATAATACACTACAAAAGAGAGTCAAAAGGGGTATCGATGCACTTACATGAATTAGATGGTTCCTGTTTAGAAACCATGCCGTCAAGAGATATCTGTTGGTAGGCTTCGAGAGGAGCATTTTCTGTGTTTTGTAACGGGACCGACGCTTGTTCTAGGAACATAGTTATTAAATTCATGGAAACATACCAAATTTTTCATAATTATCTCTAACTGTTTGCTGTTTGTAAAAGCATGGAGTCGGGGCGCAGTATTGCGTGATACTTTCCGAGGACTTGTATAAATGTTCATTTACGTTGGTAGCATTCCAGTAAGTCGGATTCGTGTTGCTGACTATGGATCCATCTGGGTAAGATGAACTGTTTGGGATGGACGCATTGCCAGGAAAGAATGTATCCGGATTCTGATGGACAGCCTCGAAGTGTTTCAAAACATTTCGATTGTATTGGCTTGAATACATACAATGTGTACATCGATAACGTTTAGAGGCTAGAGCTCCAGAAGAGTGTTTCCTCATGTGATTACGCAAAGAAGCTGCATGACGGTAGTCTTTACCACACAATCCACAACGATGTACTTGGGGTGGAGATGTGGATCTTGGTATTTTGGGTGATTGCTTTTTAATTGTTGCATCAGGACGCGGGATATCTTTACTCTCATCAGACTTAAGTGGCGAGTTCAACTTTTCGGCGGCCAAAGAGTCACAAAGAGCTCCAGGGCCTTCAGGATCTACAGATGTACGGGTTCCACTCCGATCGCTGATGTCCATTAAATTCTCGTTTATATCACCTCGAATTGTAGAAGAAATTGGAGTTCCCCGCAAGCAATTACCATCATCAGGGTGCTTTATTGGACTGGTCAATCCAGCTTCTCCCGCCGATTTGTTCAGACATCCAGGAGTGGGGGCCACACCACCGTTAGAAGAAATGGTTTCTGAATCCCAAGCAGCTGGAAAAAACGTATCTTCGTTAACAGTATTTTCAGATTTGTTGCAAGCTTCTGTGCCCCCAACACTTTCATCGATGGGCACTGTTGAGCACTGACTGAGGTTGTAGGAAGTATTGGATCCTATCCTCTGGTCCTGAATTGCAGAAGCCATAACCGGGAGATATGCGGGACTTTGCGATTTTGTATCAGAGTCTAGCTTTATGTTCAACTCGAGTTACATTTATAGGTACAAGATATCTTACTTTAGCATCCTGTGAAGAAAGTATTTGTTGCTGATCGACATCGGGACCGTCCAAAGCGGGCATTGTCAAAGTAGCTAGGCTTTTATTAATGTTTTGATAGCGGCAAGAAGATTCTTTTATTTCTGAATGACGAATTACTGATGAATATATAGCACATACCATTACTACCCAAAGCCGAGGTCCCTTCGAGACATTTCTTGGTAGGATGTTGATCCATCAGAAGCCAATCAATTTTCGATGAGCGAACAAGAAAGGAGCTCATCGATAGATCTTATACATTGGAATATAACTACAAGTTGAAAATAGAACTTTGATGTATCCTTGGGCTGTGATTTCTCGAGGTGCAATCAAAATATCGCCCGAAAACGTACCGCAGGTTGCAACCTCAAGGTCCAATGTCTAGTTCAGTTCAGTTCAGTTCAGTTCAGTTTGCACAGGACGATGTGTGGCCCGGGCCAATCTTGCGTCCAGATTGATGTGTTTTTGGCTGTTCTTGTGGCTTCCAACACTGCGAGTCAATAGGTTTTTTCTGAAAGGCAGAAAGTANCAGAAAGTAAGGTGCAGTATCACGTCCTGGGCAATGGCGCTCAGGAATAATAGATACTTCCAATCCAATCCAATCCAATCTTCCAGGACGTAGAGGCCTCGGCCTT